TAAAAGCTAAAAATCATAAGAAAGGAGAACAGAAGTGTTATTAAGTTGCACATCAACAGTGTGTATTATATTTATATTCAAAATCAAAATAATACTTTTTAACTTTGGAAGTAAGCATATAAATTGGCATATGTATTTTTATGAATACCTTCATCCTCTTTGGCATCATTTTTTTTTAAAAAATAAAGAATCGTATCAGTGGCCACTGTATTAATTCATATTATCATCTTTGCCCCATGCTTCTATTGCTGCTTTTGAAGGGAAAAAAGAGAAAATGTAGAGACAGGAAATGTTTTTGAAATTTACTTCATTTTCTGCCTTATTTTAAAACAAAAAACAAGGCAGAAACTAAGCAGATGTAGGCTAGGTCAGAGCTTAGAAAAGATATTTTGTTGGATTACAACTGCCAAAATCTGCTGGCATTGATGAGTGGGAGTTTGGGAACGATATAGGTCCCCCACAAAGTTGGAAGCTCTGGGCATGTTAGGATGGTGCTGAAGGTGGACAGGAGGACAAGATTTAACTGGGTAACATAATTCACAGCAGGTTTCAAAGGCTTACTTTGGAGTACATGTATTGAAATTAACCTAATGGAAAAAAAAGAGGCAGGAAGGAAGGAATATGGAGTGAATGCTTTTGTGTTAATGTTTGGTGCTAAGAGTTTATCTGCACTGCACAAGAGCTTATTGCATACTTAAATAAACTGCTTTGCCCGATCCAGTTTACAATTTAAACTGGGTGGCATCCTGATATTATCAGAAGGACTTAGCTGCCAAATCTGCTGCCTGGATCCATCCCCACTCACAGGGGCTCTCATTATGGCTCTTTTTGAAGTTGGGAGTTTTCTGGCCTGAGAAATGGCCGCTGGAGTGCCCCTGCAAGCAAGGATGGACCCAGGATGGACCTGGGTGGTGGATTTGGCAGCTAAATCCTTCTAATAATATCAGGATGTGGCATGATTTAAATTTTAAACCAGATCAGGTAAGGTGATTTATTTAAGTATGTGATAAGCTCCACAGTTACAACAGTTTTATGCCACTTTAATTGGCATAGCTCTATCCTATGAAATTCTGGAATTTTTACAAAGCATATCCCCAAACTCAAAAAGGTTGATCCTTGTAGAATCTAATGGAGCTAGTTTGGTTCTGTCCACATGCCCAAAGAAGTCATTGTCCCATACTTGGTGTGTGTGGAGGGGAGCACTAGAAAGCCAGGATCTGAGCCTTCCAAAGTCATCAGGTTGACGCATCAAATAAGACTAAATAGAAATAAGGCAACACATTTCCAAACCTCTGGGTGTTTGTTCTGGACCACAAACTATTTATATGGGAAGCTCTGGAACATTCAGTTCCACAGCATCCCTAGCAGCCAAACTGACATACCACATAGAAGAACTAGAAGGGATTGACCAACAACCTTTCAAAAACCAACCTTCAGAGTCAGTAATTTATATATTTAAAGAGACAGGTATCAGGGAGAGGGCAGTCTGAGCATCTGTGAATAACTTTTGGGTTTCCTTGGAACTTCAGCACCTTATTTGTAGTCCATTTTGGTTTGCACCTGAAGGATTGTCTCAGTCCATGCAATCTTATAATGAAATATTTCAAAGAATCAGCAGAGTCTGTTCTTATATCCAAGGCCACCCAGTAGGTTTCATGGCCAAGCTGGGAATCGAACCATGGCCTCCAGAGTCATAATTCAATACTCAAACCACTATGCCACACTGGCTCTGCATTCAAAAAATCTATTTCTAAAATCCCTATGGACGTTATCACACGGGGGCAAATCTGCTGGTTAATCCACACAAATCCCAAACAGAAACTGGATTTGTGCCCCGCGTTTTCACACGACGTCACACAGAAACTGGACAGAAAGTGGACAGAAACTTGTGTTAACCGAGATCTTTTGAAATTCGGTTGTTTGGAGGAAATGCAAATGCAAAATTAAGGTAATTTCGCATTTACTGTAATGTGAAAAGCAAATGCGCATTTGGGAGTATTTCCCTGCTGTTCCCATGTAAAACTTACAGCATGGTTCCAGTGAGCATTCCTCTATCTGCACATGTGCAAGAAGCTCATTTCCAGTACATTTACGGGCTTTTCTCGCTTGTGTGTGAACATTAAATGCGCTTACTGTAAATTCGCAATTAAGATAATTACGTGTGAAAGCCATTTGCGGAATCAAGGTTTATTTTCTGTTTATTTTCAGAATGCCTCATTTCCACTTTATTTTCACTTTCTGGCCCATGTGTGATAACATCCTATGTTGTCAATCATGTATATGGTGCTGAATGAGGTTGCCAATTCTTTTTGCTGAAAACTTTGCATCTTTAAAAGCTACCTGGCACACAGGTTCAATATGCCTCTTTCCAAACTGGAAAGAGCTGTTCTTAACTGAATTTGGAGGAAAAGGAAAAGAGGGAAAAGAGGAAGACTGCATTGCCAGTGGATTGACTCAATCAAGGCAGTTGCAGCAGCCTGAATATTACAAAATCTGAGCAGAGCTGTTAACAAGCAATTGTCTTGGAGGTCTTCTATTTAGAGTTGCCATAAGTTGAAGCTGATTTAATGGCAATTAACAACAACATCAAAAGCAACTGAATGTCTGGATGTGCCCTGAGACTGATCCTGTGGCAAATTCCAGATACCATGTGGAATTCCATATGTACAAGTCTGGATATGAACATTTCTGGTTTGAGTGATATACAGAAAAATCAGTAAATGCTCCTGAGGCTGCAATGTTGTTTATCCATGGGTTGTATTTATTACTACAACACTACTCATATTTCAGTTGAATTTTCAAGAGCCTTGCCAAAGATATTGGGGGCAAAACAAGGTCTGAAACCACCTGCTGCAACATGTGTCTCAAAATCCATGGTCCTATTTTTATCATAACTTGCTGCTTGGCTAGGCAGTGGTTGCTCTTTGGTTGACTGACTTAAATTTCAGACTGGAAAAAGAAGGGATTTTGCTACTTATCGTAGCAACATGTGGCAAATGTAAAGATATCCTGTGGGGAAAATCTATACTATCTACCCAAAATTATTTAGTAGACGGGAGAGAATTGCAGGTTAATTTGATGCAGGCATTTGAAGATACATGGTCCAGAGGTAAATATTATAATAATACTAAAATAATCTCTTGATTACCCTCTTGCTGCACTTACAAAGCAGGTTGTAGATATGAGTTTCAACTTTTCCCAAATTTAGGCTGATATCTAAAGAACACTCCAAAGTTTTTTTTAAAAAAAAACACTGTGTGGGTTTTGTGTGTCTGTGTTTATTTCTGACTTATGCCATTATCACATGCTGATTTTGAAATGCAGTGAGATTTTGTTTAAATGGCTAGATACAAATGCTCTCTCAACATTTCCTCAATACTTTTATTTCATTTTATGAATATGCTGCCTTTCTCCTAAACTGGAGAGAAAGTGGCTCACAAAAGATATGATTTTTTAAATTAAAAAAAAATCATTCCCCACTCCCCTACCTAGAGTTGCTTCCCTGAGTTGTGAAAGACATTTGTTTGTCACAGCATGAGATTTTCCTCATCTATGTTTCTTCCATTAAGAGAATTTTTGGTGACTGGCCATTGCTAGGTAGCTAAGGGCTCAGTTTGCAAGTCTGATCGATGAAGTACATATCTCTGAGGAAAATGTAATGTGGGGGCGAAAATGGGTTACACATTTTTCTTAATGTGGAGCAAGAACTTTTCTCTGAATTTCTTCATGAGGTTACTTTGGGACTTACCGCTAGCAGCAAGCCCCAAAGTAGTACACCTTCCTTTCCCCCTTAGGTTTTCAATTTCTGTTGTTGCTGCCACAACTGGGATGGGAGCCTGGCCACCATTTTGCATCCCCCAATATATCCTGGACCTAGTATTGTTCCATGGCATCATGGGAGCAGTGGGAGGAAGGTAACTGCCACAAATTATAGTGAGAATATTTAGATAGTTCTGCAAATTACTAGTCTTTCTGAAGTGGTGTGGTGGCATAAGAGAAAGAACCATTTTGGAAATTTTCTCAGAAAAAACAAGTTTGTGTGTTTTTTTTTTATTAGCTCTGATTTTTATGGTATTTCATTAATCAAGATTTGCAAGTGATAATTCTTCTCAATCGATTCCTTTGCTTTCTGCTCTCCGCAAATCATTTAAACTGTAGTACTTTCTGTCTTAATATATCCTAGACTTTAATCCACCCCTAAATAAGTTTAGATGTTCAGAATGCTGAATGATTTTTAAAAAATGTCAACAATCTGCTTTGCAAACCAGCTTCAAGTGTGTCCTAACAGGCAAGATATATCAAAATATGCCTTTGGGTTCAACTTGGTTGCTATAAAATTACCACAGCTAAAATTAGGCTCCTGAATATTGAACACGAGGATTGCGAGTGATCCTACGCAGACTGGAAGACTCCCATAACAGCAGAGCTTTTAGCATCAGGGCATGAATGGAGTGGCACTTTTCCTTCTTTGCAAATGAACAGATGAACTGGTGGGAATTAGAAAAAAACAGTGTATCTGTACTGATACAGTGTCTACTACAGACTTCAATTGTTTTAATTGTCACTCCCTCTCACCTGAAAATCCTGAGAATTGTAGTTCTGTGATACAAACCAGGGCTTTCAGAAGAGCAATTCACAGCTCTCTCACAAAACTACAGTCCCCAAAATTCTTTGAGAGAACCTCCAACAAATTACTATAGAATATTTGTTCATTTGTTCATTAGATTTCTGACATTCTTCTATGGCTGGATTGTAAGACACCTTTCCAACACAAGTTTTTTTTTTAAAAAAAACTACCAATAGAAACATAAGTCATATGTATTAAAATATAAATACTATTAAAACACTACTAACACTGCGAAACATATTGGCTGAGATCCTATATTGGGAAGAAGGAGTATAACATTATGCTTACAGTTACAAAGCAGTTGTGCAATGCTGCCTTGTTAGTGAATGACAATGTAGCACAACAAAATGTTCATGCACTCCCCATGTTGTTATTGTGTGCCTTCAAGTCATTTCTAAGTTATGGAGACCCTAAGGTGAACATAACACTGGGTTTTCTTGGCAGAATTTGTTTAGAGAGAGTTTACCTTTGCCTTCCTCTGAATCTGAGAGAGTGTGACTTGCCAAAGGTCACCCAATAGGTTTCAATGGCTCAGTGGGGATTCAAACTCTGTTCTCCTAGTGTCCTAGTCCAACATTCAAGTTTTTAATTGACTGCACCAGCATGTTGGAAATCTCCATACACAATATGTAACATGCAGTGATATCCATGCTTGACTGTGTGAAGTTCACAATGAGCATCCATGGACAATGCACAAACATTAGTACCGTATTTTCCGGCGTATAA